CAAAAATGAGATTGTTTCATTGCTTCAAAAAATGTGATAAGTTCTTGTTGTAACTCGTGTACTTTGCCTCTTGACAGCCACCTCAACTTTTACACACCGATGAACCGTCTGTGTTGAGACTCCATATTGGTGCAAATCTGTTCAAATAGGCGTGATTTAACTGGTCTTGTTTTAATAAAGTTCACCATTTGAACAACTTGATCTAAGACCTCTCCCAAATCCTCTCCTAATGTTCTTGACATCAAGGCCTCTCTATGAAGGAAGCAATGAGTTACAATAACATTCTCGTGTTGTTCCTTTATAAAAGATACAAGACCCTTGTTGCAGCCTATCATAGTAGGAGCTCCATCTGTGCAAATGCCTACACACGATTTCCACGATAACTGCCATTTATCAAGGTAGTTATTCAGGATGTTAAAAACGTCCTCACCTTTTGTAGTCAGACTTAATTCTTTGCAAAAAAGAAACTGATTTGTTATTTGATTTTCGTTAATGAAACGAATAAATGCTATGAGTTGCGCCTTGTTGGTAATGTCGGTTGACTCGTCAACTTGCAGTGCAAAATCAGAACACTGGAGTTTATTACCACATACATTTTTCTCAATATCAGAAGACATTTTCAAAATACGCCTGTTAACAGTATCTTGCTTATTTTCATAGCTGCTTCATTTCCTAACATCGTACTGACAATCTTTTGGCAAGCAGGCAAAATAAGTGACTCACCCAAAGTATGAGCTTTCATATTTTGTGCGATCAGTTCTGAGACTTGGTAAGAAGCAATTTGAGCTTTATCAGAAACAGTCATTAAACTTTTAAAAGAATCAGCTGCTTTTCTTTGCTGTTCGGACATTCTTTTAAAATAACTTGTGGGTTTGTCTTGTAAATGAGAGTGTTTACTTTTAAAATGTTTACCAAGTTTACTAGGGAGCATTGATTCATTTGACATTTTTATTCCACAAACTAAACATACTGGCTGCGGACTATCAACATTTCCGGTCCAAGAAATGCCAAAGCTTAAATAACTCTCATCGTTAATTACGAGTCGGTCGCGGTTTTGCTTTTTTACTAGAACAACTTTCCACATTTGAGGTTTGCTCACTTTCAGGATTACATTCATCAATGTCACGCTTCTTTTTAAGAAACTTATCCATTTTTATGTATGAATTATTCTTAACAAAGACAATTATATCAACGGTAATTATTCTGAAACTTGTAAAAGGCACAATACGTTTACTCTTGACGGCAGTTCACAAGACACGACACGCCACTCCCACTCACCAACGCCTGTTATGCAACACTGCCAGTTGCCACGTGATGAAAGCTAGTG